AAAAAACACCACAACCACAGGAGAGCAAATTCTGTGAGATGTGTGTACTCTTGAATAATCTATCTACACACAAGACTTCAGGAATCCGAGACCTGGAGGCACATGGGGAATGTCCTGCGATTTCAAGCACAGGTGCCGGGTGCCTCAGGATGTGAAAGAGATCTTGAGCTCCAGTCTCGTTCAGGAAGCCAGCCTTAGGACCACCAGGCATTGAGATAAGTGCCGTTTAAGTGCCTAGGAGCATCCCTGTTTGTGGCATGGCCTTCTTGCACGCTGCAACGAACTGGTCCTCGTCTACATGGCCCACCCCCTCGACCTTTGCAGCGCGAGCGACGACAAGAAGTACGTCATTTCGGCTTCTCCCGGGCGCCGGGCATCCACACCCGTCATCCAGGCACGGAGCATGTTGCCATACTCCTCTCAGGGCTTCAGTCTCCAAAATTCAACCGCGAGGCCTCCAACTAAGCACCTCGAGGCTTCAAACTACCGCGGCCAAAGTGTGCGGAAAGGTCCCCAAACTCCCAAAAAGTCCCAAAGCCCTAAGCAGGAGACACATCCGTGCTTAAGCGCAAGGCCTGCTCGAAGCAAGCTCGCATCTCCGACCAGATCGAGGCAGTGGCCTGAAGAAAAAGCGGAGTTCGTTTGCAAATTGATGCCGTCTCTTTGGAGTTTCGCGGTTGCAAGTAGGCAGATCCTTTGAAACTTGCGATTCCGTACGACTCGGGACGAACCCCAATCCCTCGTCAAACGAAGGTGTCTCATTGCTGAAAATCTAAGGAGGGTCCGGAGCAAGACTCGCTGTTCAATTACATGCTCAAGCCGAAAGACCAAGAACAACAGAACAATGAGCTCTTTATCCTCCTGAGCCTCGATTCGACAGCAACTCAGAATCGGAAGACCTCATCCAGATCGGAGAAGCGTAGCACCCCGATGCCCTCCGTGTCGAGCTGGTCCCACAACGACTGCCACGCGGCTTGCATCCACTAGCCGCGCTGCGAAGATGGACAATGAACGGCTACTCTGGCCTGCAGGTCTCCGTGAAGGCCCAGCCTTGCCGGAGACGAAACGAAACCCGAAGACCCGCAGAGATCCAAAGCATCAGTCCAGGCCCCTCATATGTGGGTTCCCGGCAGTCGGAAGACATGGGTGAACTCCCCCCAACTCAAGCGATCTCGTCCAGTCGGATCAAGACCCTGCAATTCCAAGCGAGAGTCGCACATTGACCAGCCAGAGCAGATCATGAACAAAGCTTCTCCAGCCTCCCGCCAGGCGCGGAATAGGGAGCCGAACTGGCTGATCATCGCAGCTTGGAACGCCTCCTTCGTGCTGACCCTGGCGAGGGACGGCTTGAATCCAGTGCGGACCACAAGGGCTCGTTCTTCGAGGCGAGGTGCGGCTTCGCCTTTGATTCGGAAAATGCAACCCTTGTACGGGGACTTGACCTTGTCCTTGTGAGGATGAATCGCACAGCCCTGTGGCAGGCAAGGGGCACAGCCCGATGGACATCAGAAAAGCCCGACAAACACATGCTGCTTCGTGCCATCCACACAAGACAGATGAAAGCAAGAACCACCAGGGGCTGTTTTACTAGCACAAGCTGCAACAGCAGATGTGTTTTTGGATGCCTGCGATCTATATGTCAACACATATCACTGCCTACAGCAACCCCAAGTCAAGATTGCCGGCAGACCCGAGGCGCCCCCGATCTGTGCCCACGCGGACCTGCGTGGAGTTTCGTTGATGAGGGGAGGCTCGGCTTTCAAGGTGTGGCTGCAGACTGCAGCCAGACTCTGCGAGTGTCTAGGCATCATGACGTGCGGGCACATGTTGCCTTTCAACAGGAGTGTTTTGAGTGTTTTGCTCAGGATGTCAGGAGGGCATGTACTCAATGTTTCCAGTTTGCGGCTGCAATTTAAAGGAACGATGGCAGAGCAGTCATACATGGATTGCATTGGACAAGTTGCACTTAAGATCACTTAAGCATCTGGTGATCTGCGGGCGTCACGGTACGACATACCGTAGTGAGCAGGCTTCGGGCTCGCTGACCTAACCGGTCTTTCAGGATTTTGAGTGCTCTTCGGTGGCCTTCGGCGTGTTGGCTCCTTCCTCAGCATCGTCTCCTGCCCGCGGCATCGAACTGATTTAAGTCAGCGGACAAGTTAAGGCTAGTGGTTTTACTCGACTTGCAGCTGTCAACTTCTGTTGAGACCGTTTGGCAGAGCCAGCAACACCTGCTAAGCTCATGGTGAAACAAGTCACACATGTGTCCTTTGGAGAGAGTGGGAAGTTCAGAAGTCTGCCACCTGCAAGCACCACAGTTTGTTGCACGATCCCCTGTCTGCAGCATGGCTTTCACTTGTCGTCTTGTCCAGATGATCTCTGGAGCGGATAGCAGTCGCGGCCGTTTCAGAGTGTGGCATCCCGCCTAACGTAAGCCCTGGGGTCAAAGTCCTTGAGGGTGATGTGCGTCCTTTCAAGGCTTAGACGGCATCTCCCTACGTGGCGCATGGCTTCAACTCAGCCCCCGGCGCCCCCGGCATACTTATGAACATTTTGAGCAACCTCAACGACACGTCACAAGGCTTAGATGACCTGAAACGTCGCAGTCTGGGTCTTGATTGTAGCTCAGGCTACTGCTGTCTGGCATCCATTTCCAGACCTCAGCTGGAAACTTCCAGCATCTTAAAGTCTTGGCTTCGCTTGATGTGCGTTTCAGACTACGAGCTGTGTCAATTCGCGGCGTTGTGTCATGGCTGAGAAGACTTTCCCCGCTGCATGGCAGCAATTTTGGCACACTTTGTCCAGAAGATGCTTTTCCTTGATGCGAAGTAGGCCGCCTCGCTCCTGTGTTCGCCTTTCACTCGAAGGCCTTAAGGCGCCGACCAAGCTCCCGGAGGCTGTCTGCAATCTCACTCTCGGACACTTTGCCTGCAGACTCGCTTTGGGAGCTGAGCTGCTCTGCGGGAGGAGGTCGTGTTTTCCCTCCTTCAAGGAAGGTTCGACCCCATGCCTGCGCCATTCACGTCGATGCAGTCTTGCCACGCGACCAACATGTCTCCGTACCTGGCACAAGGCGGGTCAGTGACAGTGCTTCGCTTGGCAAAATCGGAAAGGGCACCTTTGCATGAGTGCGATTTTGAAAGAGCTAACCATGTTCCAGACCTGTCCCAACACTCTTCTGTCGCTTGTCTGAGCCACAACACAGTGGAGCTGAATGGAGCAGGTACGAGGCCGCTGCATCCGGATCAACGTCCTGGGCCAGACAGTGGCAACCCGTGCAGAAAAAAGAGAAGCTAGCGCCATCTCTGTGACAAATCGGGACTGCAGTGGGTTGGGGGTCTTGGGGGAAGATTGATCGGCCCGGATTCGGCTAGGGTGACGAAGCCCTTGCTGGTCACGTCGAGCTCCGTCCAGAGCCTTGCCAGCACAGCATTCCCAAAGTGTGCTCAGACGCTGATCGCACAGAGACCCTTCGTCTTGGAGCCCAGCTTCTTCACGTTGCCATGGTAGCCCCATTTCCGCGCTGCCTTGCAAAACCTTGCATGGGTACTTCCCTGATGTCACAGTGGTGTCACGGCTCCTTCGCCAGGGAGCGGATGGAAGGACAGGCGCCCTTTCTTGTCCGAGTCGAGCAGGCGCCATCCAGCCTTTGTAGGATCACACAAAGTCGCGCCAACCGCTCAGCCGCTCAGCGCAGCCAAGCAGCTAAGATGGAGCCAAAGCGCGATTTCAAGTGGGCCGCAAAGCCAGGAATGCCCTCTCCACAAACTGGTTCTAGGCCCTACATATAGGCACCAAGAGTAATTACACAGCCATACGCAGCCGCACACCTGGGCACCCCAGAAGCTGCAGTCTTCCAGGTCGCGCGTCTCCTTGATCAGCGCCTTCAAAGCGGCGACCCGCAGAACCGCAGGGAAGCGCAGGCTCAGGCTGAGAGAGAGAGAGAGGGAGAGAGAGAGAGAGAGAGAAAGAGAGAGAGAGAGAGAGAGAGAGCAACTCTTGGAAGCCAAAGCCAGGAAGGCCTTCCTCTGCTGCGCGAGGTTTCGACCTGAAAGGGTCCCAAAGAAGAGAGACACGGCTGCAACGCAGCTATCGGCTTTTCATCATCCCAAGATGAAACAGATGATCAGCCGCTGACGGGCAGCAATCGTTGGATGGCCCATCTGGCGCGGAAGGAATGAGCCCTTCACGGTTGCGGGCAACGTCCTTTCGAGCAGGAATTCTCAGTTAGGGCAATTGCGGCTGCCGCTGCTCAGAACTGTTTGCTCTGTCAGCCACAGCGATGGATCTCAACGGCTCCTGGACAGACTGCTCACGGAGGGCTCACTGGTCGACTTGGCGAGACCTGCGAAGCAAAATCACGGGCAGGGTCCCGAGAGCAGGGATCAAGTGACAAGGCCCCCAGCCGAAGTTGGGCTGAGTCTTCCGCATGGACGGACTAACTGGTGGCCTCTGGGCTCGGGCACTGTCACCAGGGGCGCAGAGAGCTCATCGCAACTTGGGGCTCAGCAGCATCCCAGCGCTGGGACTAGGGCTCGGCCGCCCCTTCTCATACGGTGCAGAAGCGGAAGTGTGGCTACGGCAAAACTCGGCCGCCGCGGCCTTCATCGCTGGTTCAGGGCATGGTGACAAGAGCCGAGCAAAGCACTACAGTCAACCAGCGGTACGGTGGTGTGGTGCTGGGTTCGTGCTTCATCGCAGGGCTGGGGGCCCTTGCAGAGCCGGTCCGGGTATGAGCGTCGATGAGCTTAGCATCCACGGCCGAGTTGGCTTCTGGAGTCTCAGGGGCTTTTCTAGAAAAACCTAGTAGAGGGGCCGAGGAGATCTGTTGCGAGATGCATGGCCCCTTCGAACTCACTAGGCCCAAGAAGGTGAGACGAGTCGCTCAAAGCGAGCTGTGAGCAAGAAGGTCAGGGAAGCAGATGTGCTCAAGGTGGTGAAACAAGCTCTGCAAGGCTTGGCATGGCCGACACTCCCTGTCCTCCCTTTTCTGCAGAATCTCACACGATGCCGGAAAAGTACAGCTCGGCCCCCTGCCCGAACGTGATCACGCAAGCTTCCACAGAGCAGAACAGCTCTCGATCCCGTCTTAGTTGCGGTGACTTGAAACGCAGCGGCGGGAAGGCCTCGACGGCAAGGCAGCCGAGAAGAAGCGTCAGCAGCACCAAGCTGCCCAGGGCCATCAGCACCGGGTACTCAAGGTGGCTTTGAAACCTGCGGAGCCGATCTGCAATTTGCCCGAACAATTGCGAAAACTGAGGTACCGGCCATGCGTGGTCCACGAGCCCAGGTGACGGAATGGAAAGCCACACATCCTGTTGTCACAGCCGGAAAACGTAGTTGGCCTCTGCCGGCTGGGAGATGACTTGAGCAGAGCTCTTTTTTGTTGGCTACGTGCGGGAAGCGCCGCAATGCACTGTTTCCCAGATGATTCGGGACAAAATGATGCACACCGAGGCTCTCTGAATCCTGAAACCCCGATTGCAAAACAAGACCATGCAGGGCTACAGGTCCTCACCGCGCTCGTCACGGGAGCTGTAGTAGCAGGTGGCCTCGCCAGTGCATTCTTCTGCATGGAGACACAAGAGACTAACAACCATTCCATGCTGATCATGACACTCAAACTCCACGGAACTGAAAAGTGCAGGCATGCACAGACGAACCTTTTGTGATGGTGGCAAACTGTCCCGAGCTCAGCTTGATGCACTCTCAAGTTGGACAATGCTTCACAGGAAAGCCGCCAAGCGCCAAGGAGCTAGCCCTTCTCTTGGACTTCCGGATGGGAGAGGTGGGAAAAGCGAAAATTCGAATCGCTCTCGGACATTCAGGCGTGTGCAGCTCCTCGGAACCGGGCGGTTCTGGTTGCGAAGGCTTGTTACAGCGAACAAACGGGCTCTACAGTTCCACACCGCAGAATGTGGAACATGATCTTCGTCGTCGTCTCTGCCCCGTCGTCGCCACAAGAGCCAGAATGGTAGCAAAAGTAACATGAGTTGCCTATATCCAGCTATATCATGTCGATACTCCTCTACTACTCAAGAAATTTCGAGTAACATGAAAGTTGTGGAGCCCGACATACTCGATTCATTTGTGCGCCGACAGTCGAGTCCTGCGCGACCTAGACCGAAGGTTGACGCAGCTACAGTGGCCAGGATTTACCCGCAATATCTGCCAGCCAGCTCCGCTACAAAATCGCTGGAAGGTGGCCTTGTCCGCCTGAAGCATCTGCTCCTGGAGGTGCGACAGCACCTGACATGAAGGGCTACCGGGCTACCGCCCTGCCTGTCTGAGGCAGAGGCCTTCTGGTACGCTGAGATGCAGACGTCTGCAGTGGTGCAGGGCACCGGGCCGCCGGGTGGCTGCCTGGCTCGCTGGCTCTTCAGATCCAGCGCAAACTGGTCCAAGAACCTCGGCGCACGCTTGCGCACGCTTTGCGACCTCTCGGCGGCCGAAATCGCAAGTCGCTGAGCTCGTCACCCCAACTGTGGAAGGCACGGGTCCTCAGCACAAGTATAGGACATCGAATGGGAGCAATCGCTCCAGAAACTCACTACGGCCTCGGACATTCGATTCTTGCAGTACCTGGGAGCTGCGCAGGTCTCGTCTGATCTTTCAGGCTCGGGGTAAATCCATCCGCTCCAAGGTGGACCACTCTGCATCTTTAGCGTCAATGAAGGCTCAAGCCGTCAGGCATGAATAAAGAAGCCCCGGCTCAAGAGACGTGCATGAATTACGACTTTACACAGCCGCTTCGAGCTTGCTGGGCACCTTCTGTTCTCTACATTTCTACAGAAGGATCACTGAACCAGCCCTTTCGGACTGTGGGTCACATAAAACGAACAATCCTACACCGCATCGCTCATTTGGCGCGCAGACCTTCGGCAACTGAATTGCTTTGCGCTTTGCTGCGCCGCGGCAACCAATAAGGCATCTTCAGTTGTCTCTTTGCAACTGTAAAACCGGGTGAGATGAGCTTTTCTGTACAAACTTTCTCTGTGCCAGCCACAGGCTCACTGTGCTTGCTGTGCTTGCAGCACGGCCACCACCTTTGTACACGAAGGCAATTGCAGCTCCCTCTGGCTTCCGATTTGGGGGTTTCCCATAATAGGGGAGCCTAATGTAGTAACCTGAATAGGACCCAAAAAAAGTACCCCTAATTTTCGGCAACTCCCATTTTCACTTCGTGCAAGTGAACGGCCTCAGCGTGTGATTCACGTCGATTTAGCCACTTCGCCAGCCCCATCGGGGTCTGCCTGAAGAGTCTCAGCTTTGCAGTGCTTGCTTTTGCTGTTGAAACAAGCATGGGCCCGGAGTTTCCCTGCAACCGGCGCACCCGAAGGTATTGCACTTGGTGGCATCAGCTCCCATCCAGAGGAGAAGCCTGACCGTGGCCAGATCAAGAGCCCTTCCCATAAGAAACGCTGGCTCTGCTATTTCTCATCGCCTAACCATCTCCGGGTCGTTGCATTGCACGGCCCGATGCAGCGGATAGGAGGCCACCTACCAGAACTCAAAGCTCTCTCTGGGATTCTTGGGGGGTGCTTCCTTCGCGGGCATGTTGAGGCCGCCGCAGGAGACCACTTGTGTGCTGCGCGCACGTGTCGGTATCCTTCAGCAGAGGAGAGGCTGAAAGTCTCCGAAGCATCGAAGCTTTTTTTTCTTTCGAGACGCCTTCAGCCGCCAGGAAGGCCTTCGCCTTTTCCCGGAGCTCTCTTTCTCGCTTGGCCTGGCAACCGATAGACCGATAGGATAGGGTGTCTCTTCTTTGTTGCGGGGTCCCGCTTTCACTTGGCAGATTTTGGCGCCTCTGCAGCAGATGCTCGCGCCTTCTGCTCCATTTCCTCCCGCGACATGAGCTCAAGAAAGGAGGAGCTCGAGGGGAGGCTGGCATAGGCCGGCAGCCTGGAGCTGTCTGCGCTTCTCAGCTTGTCGCCGCTGCTCCTGCGAATCGAAATCTGAAAGCCCGACCTTCGACACCCTCAACTCTGAGTCACCCTCTGTGCTCCTCAACTCTCTCTTCTGCAAGCCGTGCTTCCTCCTCTGCTCGCCTGCCGACGGTAGGCTGCGATGACCGGGAAAACGAAGAAGCAACGTCTGAACTCTTGCGTTGGGAATATCGCTCTTTCTGCCGGATACCTTGCTCAAGCATGCTGTTTTCCATCGCAGCATTCCACGATCTCCCACAATCCCTGGTCTTCGCAGTTGTCGCATCGCGCCATGCTCTAGTATCGCGTATTTTTGCCACTTGGGGAGTTCAGTTGGCCAATGCGTGCGAATGAAGCTGAGGATGGGGCTTCAGGGCTTAGGGAAGCGCCTGATTTCGGGCAGAGAGGAAGGCTTCGGAAAACCTGCCTCTACGGCAGTGGCAGCCCGGAGTGGCAAGAACCATGACACCATGCTAACCGTGATCATGCTGCACTATCGAACACCTGCGCGAGGAAGACGACATTGCTTTGGGACGATGTCTAGGCCTAGGCCGTTTAGGCCCAGTGTCAGAAACGAGAAAGCCTGTTTTCCTGGCCATGCCAGCTTAACATCTTACTTCTACTTGGAGTTTCTTGCAATCAGATGCGACTTCGAGTTCGCAGCCAGCACATCCCTCCCTCCATACAACTCAGGCCTTCTATGTTTGGCTCCAGGGGCTGATGGCCCACCTAAAAGACGGCAGCTCTGCTGGCCTCCTTGCAGCCAGCAGCTCCTCCTCCAAACGGCGCTCCTCCTCCCGGCGAATCGCCATGTCCGCCTCCTCGTCGTTGGGACACAGAGTTGCAACAAAAAGAAGGCAGTCTTGCAAGATCACAGTCTCGGCATGGCGGAACTGGTTATGAGCGATCTACCCGACCAAATTCTTCCCCAAGTCAACAGTATCTGTAAACCACTTGAAGACAAGAGCGGGCTATCCCAGTCCTCCTGTCTTCTACGTCGCTCGTCTTCCAAGCGCTGCTTTTCAGCCTCTGGAGTTCGCAACTGACAAAACTACCCTGACCCTGCTGTTTACCTAATTTTAGGTGGCGAGCAATTTACTAAACAAAGCTTGGTTTACACTTCAAATTTACGAAAAAATTTACGTAAAAAAAAAGTGTAAATTAATTTACTTTGTATAGTAAAAAATTTACACTGCAATGTAAATTTTTTACACTGCAAAATACATGTTTTTAGGTTACACATTCCCGAATTTGAAGAAGTGAAATGCAAGCTAATTTTGGTTGGTTTTGTTTCTTTTATCATGGGTCTGCTTGTTGATTGCATGAGATTTTCCTGCGACTGTACAGTGCGGCATGGTCAGGTGTGAAGATAAAATTATGAGAATTGTGTTGCAAGCATACTTGTTAAGCCATTGTTTTCCATGTTGAAATCGCAGCTCGGTTTGATTCTGTGCTGGGTCGAGCCGGCGGATTGCTTGCGATGTGTGCTTTTTACATGCGAGAAATCGGTACATGTACATTTGCGAGAGTCATCACAATATAGTTTATACCTGCGAGGAGTCCACCTTTACCTGTGCGAGACTCTTGTATGTTACATGCGAGAGATCTACTTATATATATATATATATATATACTTTTCTGAGATCCGAGAGTGAGAAAAATTTTCGGACGTTGCAGCTGTGTGTTTGGTCCAGACGAGACCCAGAGGTAAGTGCGAGGCTGGATGGAGACAGAGACAAATGCATTCCATTTTTTTGAGAAATCATAAATCCTATACATACACAGTATATACAGTCTTGCGAGCATGGCTTCCTTAGCAGCTGCAGCTTCGGTCAAGCGGGCGGAGGGCGCTTCCGCTGCAACGGGCAAAAATGCCAAGGACCGAGTGGTTGCCGATCCGCTTATTACAGCAACGGAGCTGGCGAAGGTGGTGTTGGGCTTTCTCGAGTTCAAGAAGACGAAGGACCTGTGGCCTTTACTGTGCCCCCCTCCGGGCGGGCCAATAGGCTACACTTGGCACACTGCCGTCCACGGTCCGTGGTTGGCAAAGACAGCTGGGCTGCTGTTTGACCTTCTTCGCCTCGCCCCGAACACGAAGTTGTTGTCGCAGCGGGTTACCCGAAGCTTTTGGATCCTTCACGACCAAAAGAACCTGCTGCTCGAAGGCCACAAAGACTACAAGGCAGAGGACCTTGTGGACAAGATGGACACCGCCATCCGTCTTCTTCTTAGCCACCTCCGTGCGATGAAGCAGAAGGAGAGCTTCAAGCGGAAAGTCTACAGGTCCCTGTCGCACGAGGATCAAGTGTGCAGTGGCTGCACATATATATGTTTTTCGTGTTTTTTCGCTGTATATATAATTCGTGTGACGGAACAAAGAAGTGTTGCAAACTTTTTTTACGTATAAGTCTGTGGAAACATACAATCAGGAAGCTTGACCTTTGCCTGGAAAGGGTGCAGGTGCAGGAGTTTGCCCCGAAGCCTCTTG